TGCACAGGAAGGAAGCAGGTGTGGGCTGCTTGGGCTGAGCGACCACCCGTTTCCTTCCTCTGCCCTTCCAGCCACTGCCCTGAGGAGTTTTCCACGTGTTCTTGGCTTGGACAGGAGTGGGGTGGACTTGGGCTGAGACTACTGGGGAGGGGTGCCCCTTCAAAGCTGAAAGGACACTGAGATGGGGGCCCCTGGGGTTAGGAGAGAGGGAGGAGTGGGGATGAAAGGCCAGGACTCCCAGGTTAAGTGCAGCAGTAGCCTGGTGCCCATAGTCCCTAATGACTTCCCATCTAGCTCTGCCTCCACCCCAAAAGGCTCTGTGGGAGCCTGTGGATTCAAGGCAAAACTCCAAACATTGATTTTTCCAGAGAGTTTCGACCTGAGAGAAACAATGAACAGAGACATACCCTTCCCTGAGGGGCAGTTCAGTGGGGTAGAGGGTCAGTTGGCTCCCACCTTAGCCACTGATGAGCCCTGAGACCTCGGATGAGTTACTAAAGTCCAGCCTCAGTTTTCTGGTCTGTAAAATGGGGGTGATAATACTATCTATCTCGTGAGGTTGCTGGGGGGATTAAAAGAGGAAATACAAATAAAATACTTGGCATAGTGTCTGGTGCATGTAAGTGTTCGATAAATACCAGCTGCTATTTTAATTATTTAAAATAGGAACTATCTCTTCTTGCAGGGATGGTTCAGTTGGAGACCAGGGGAGAGAAGATATGACCTTGCAACTGGATAAGAGAGGAGACAGGAAGTCTGCCTGAGATGAAGTTGCCAAGGTACCACTTGTTTATTCCCATACTAGTGGCATTCGACTATAAAATAGGGAAGTAGGAAGAGGATGCAGGTCCCTGTCTCCATAACTCATCTGACCCTTTATGACAGCTTGTTCAGCCTGAAGACCACTTCTTTCTGAAGGAGGGAGGAGTGCTGAGCTGTGATTCTGGCTCTACTAGTTGCCAGTTATATGATCTTGGACAAGTCACTTAACCTCTGATGGCCTCAGTTTCCTCATCTGCAAAATGGGTATAATAATAATAATACTTAAGGTCGTCATAAGGATTAGAGGATCTAACTGTAAAGCTCCAAGAACAGCTTCAGGCACTTAGGAAGCAGTAGATCAGTGTTTGTTAATAAAGGTTCTGGAGTTGGACATGAGGATGACAAGGCTCTAACACCACACTGCCAAGGGCCTCTTCACTTCCAAAGCCTTGCATACTCACTGTCCCATCTCACCCTGTCGTAATCAGTGTCTGGATAACAGTTGACAATCAAATATCTGTTCAAGGACCAAAAAAGTGAGTGAATAAATGAAATGTACAGAGTAAGCAAGAAAACATAACAATTAAAAAAAGAATAATGTATGATGATTAAAAACTCAGGATGGGGAAGTCATGCTGACTCAAATCCTGGTTTCACTACTAAGAAGTGTGACAATCAGCAAGTGAGCCTGTCACTGTATCTATGAAATAGGAATACCAGGACCTTGCTCATGGGGTTACTGTAGAAATTAAGAGGGGTGTGCAAGATGCCTAACAGCTGCTAGTGTAATTATCCCCCTCTCCCACTGCAGCTGGGAGAACTGAGGCCCAGAAAGGGTAAGTTGGTGGAGGGGGCCCAGGCTCTCACCCTGTCAGCCCGGCTTGCAGGCAGGGTGTGGGTCCTCCTAGGTCATCTCTGTGCAATGCCTAGATGAAAGGCTCAGTTTGAATTCTGGATCAGCTGTATCCAGCTGTGAGATCTCCCTAAGTCTCAATTTTCTCATCTGTACCAGAAGACCATAATCTCCCCCTCTCAAGGAGGCAGTGAGGGTACATAAAATTGCACATTTAAACCACTAAGCTCAGCAGGTGTTATTCAGCAAATGGCCAAGTTATTATCATCATCTCTGCCTTGGGACTCTAACTCTGGATGCCTGTTGGGGGAGGCTGCTTCCTTCTTTCCCAGCATGTACTCCAATCCCTGCGGAGGTGGGTAGGTGACCTGGAGAGGCAGGCTGTGGGGTGGAGGCAGGGAGCCACGGCTGCTCTCAGGGACTAAGGGGCTCTGTCTGGCCTCTTGAGTGTGAGGCACTAGATGGAGAGGTGAATACCCCAGAAGTACCCTGGATGTGCGGGGATATAAAACCTCTGGGTCCAGGTGTGGCACAATTCCCATGGGAGCTGTGGAGGCCTGAGAGGGGGCAAGGAGGGGAGAGGAAGGCGGTGTCTCAATGTTCAGGAGCCACAGGCAAAGGCATTTATATTTTGTCCTGAAGGCCTTGAGAACCACAGAACCTTCTTGAGCAGGAGAGTAACATGGTTAGCAACTTAAGGGGTTATCTGCCCAAATGTAGGATGGACTGGTGAGGGGGAGGTGGGAATCAGGGGGTCAGGAAAGAGGTAGCCTCAGCTCCTTCCTAACCTCTGATTGGTTTTATGAGGACATACCAGGCAAGGCTGGCGCAGCCATGACAGATGTCCTGGGAGGATGGCCAGGGCAGTCTGCTCCATGTTACCTTCACAGGGTTGCCAGACCTGGTGAATCAAGCTGAGGGTGAGGGGAGGCCCTGGGAGAAGAGCTGTGGTCTTCTGGGGCTGGCACTAAGACCACTAGCTTAGAGAAGTTGAGGCTGCTGGGAAGCAGGAGTGGGAGCAAGGAGGCCAGGAGAAGGGGGACTGGCCATGGGAGAAGGACACAGTGCAGAGGACACAGCCGGGCCTGGGAAGCAAGTGGCAACATTCCAGGCCTCTGCGATTTACTGAGAGCCAGGCAAAATATACGACCCTCTTTAGGCTCTGTCTCCTCATCTTCTCTCCAGTTACATGTTCAGCGTCAGAGGCCTTGGGCATGTCCCTTCAAGGGTAGAAAGAAAAAGGGTGCAGGCACCCGAGAAGACACAGTTCTGGACAGGCACTTGGAAACCATCCAGACATAGAGGACGAGGGTGGTGCGCACATGTGTTTGGTGTTGTGAGGACACGTTCACGCCCACGCACACAGGCTGCCAGCGCCAGGCCTCAGACCCCTGGGTGTGTGGCCAGGAGGAATGAGGTCAGCTTTGGAGAATCCGCCCTGGACTCCCACACCAGGCCTGGGGGTCTGAGCTCAAGAACAATACTTGGCCTTTCCTGAACAGGGATTTTCCATGGTCCTGGCCTAGCAGGGTGGGGAGAGGGATCCAATGATTAGAGAGAAGGTACTGTTCCCTCTATGAGCCCCAAAAGAGTCTGCACCCCCCCCCTCAACTGTCCCACTCCACACATCATCCCCTCCATGATTAGGGGAGAGTGCTGACAGCCATCCTTTGCAGCAGTGCTTGGGCACTTCCTCCTCTGAAAAGTCCTCTCTGAGTCCATAGCCCCTGACTGGAGAGGCTCCTCCTCTGCTCAATCACAGCACTGAGGTGTGCCCCAGGGCAGGGCCTAGATTTGGTGCATATAGCACACTTGGCCTGGCCCCTAGCATACTACCTTCAGGGGAGAAATGTCTTTCATCCAAATGAACTGTGGGGCTCAGGAACGATGGCCAGAGGCCCTGCTAAGCCCCAAACATCCCCAACCTAGACATGGCCTTGCCCTGGCCCGTTCCCCTCTGATCCTTAAGAACTGACAGGCCAAAGAGGGGCCCTAGAAAACCCACTGGCTTGGAGCACAGATGTCCAGTTCTAGGCCTTGCTCTGCCAGCAGTGCTATAGAGTTTGAGGTCTCGGTTTTCTCATCTGCCCAGAGGTGGGCTGCCTTGGCTGAGCCCCTCCGTGGTCTTGCATTCTAAGAAAAGCAACCACAAAAGCTTAGTACCCTATTGGCAAAATGTCCTCTCTTCCAAGGAGCTCTAGTAGCAGCTAACACTCTGCTGCAGGGTGCTGCAAGTCCAGGTGAGGACCAGGAGGATGTACCCTTCATCACATCACAGAGGGCCCTCCATCTCATTCCTGTCTCAGCCTGCAGGTTCTCAAACTGCGATTCAGCACCCATCCGTGTGCTATGCCTTGGAAAGGGTGCTACCAGTGGGGAGGCTCCCCTCCCTTAACCTTGGGTTCTAGCAGCCCCTAGGGAGACAGGAACACCTTCCCTCCCCACCGCCACTTTGCCCTTGCCTCAGCAGCAGCCTCTCACCCAAGGTCAGTATGGCTGAAGACAAGACAGCAGTCTTGGTGTTGACAGAGGCAGAGGAGCAAAGGCTGGGGGTGTAGTACCTGAGCTCCTGAGCCCTGAAGTCCTTAGCCCTCACCTTGTGGGCCTGGCACAGCAACCTTGGTGTGGAGCAAAGAATCAGAGCCCTGACTACAGCCTGAAAAAGGGAGGGCAGAAGTGGACTGCATATGCATTGGGGACTGAATGGAAAACCTTGACAAAAGCTGAATTTGAACTTGCAAAAATAGAAGCAGGAAGGGAACTCTAGGACAGCAGAGGACTGGCCAATAGCTGGCTAGCCCTGGCCAGACCACTAGTGGGTCCTTGGCAGAGCAGCCTGAGTGCTAACGGCATGTGTAGAGTTGCCCATCTCAAGAAGGAAGGCTGCCCCCTGCACTGTGTCCTTGTGTGCAAATGACTTGGACCTTCCCAGTCATATCTTCACACATCCCTCAACCCTCCAACCCCAACCAGAAAAAGCCAGAGGGGGGTGCATCCAGAGGGCCTCCTAAGACTCTCCCCCAGAGCCAATGCTCAGATGAGCTGAGTGAAAAGAGTGAGGCACTGGCCTGGGGGACAGAATTTAAAAGGGCTCCAAAAAAACTCAGTAACCAAGATAAGTAATATTTGATGCATTATTTTTTAAAATCAAAATTAACACAAAAAAACCTGTGATGAACAAAATATCAAAATTTCAAATAAAAACAGCATCAGTACTGCTGATTTTAGGCTCCAGTATGGCTTGGCATGGCACCATTATTAATTCTATTTAAAATTGGGATATTTTGTTCATCACTGAATTTATTGCATTATTTTGATCTAAAAATGCATTAAAAGATTACCTATCCCAATTACTTTTTGGTGCCTCTTTAAATTTTGCACCCAGGCTAGTGCCTCACGGGCCTCTAGGGTCCCTGAGAGAACTCCTGTCATCTAGTCTGGATTCCTGCCTGGGGCAAGAGCCTCCCCTCTAACCTCCTGCTCACTGAGGCCAAGCTCACATAGCCCAGTGGCTGGGAACTTGACACACCCCCGGAGGCATCCCTTAAGGCCTTTCTGACCCTTCCGTTCCCTGCTTCACCCTGTGAGACTGGCACAGGGGCATCTCCAAGGGTGGAGGACATGCCTTGGCTGGAATGAGGAAGAGGCAGGGAGAAGAGCTCCTTCCCTTTGTCCCCAGATGACCCAAACCAGGTCTGGAAGGCGCTTCCTCCCAAAGCCTAACGGTCCCTCCATCCTGTGCCCCTCAAGCCGGGGTCAGAGCCCAGGCCTGCCTGGCCAAATTCAAGCACTGCTGATGTGTAGCCCTGGGAAGGCTGGGAGGTGGGTTGCACTGGGGCTGTCGATGGTGGATTGGCGGGTCCTCACTTAGTTCAGGGGTAGGGGTGGGGGTGGGGACTTTGGTAAAGGGTGAAGGAGGGTCTGGGCTCACAGAGCGGTTAACCGGGGCCAAAGAGGACAGAACTCGGGGAGCGGGGCTGGGGACAGTACTCACCGCGGCCGTTCTGGGTGGGCCGGTACACGCTGCCCACGCTGAGACGGCCCTGCTGCGCGCCACCGCGCTCCCCCACGGGCGGGGGCGCGTCCGAGCTGC